TTCATTAACAGGGTTAGTAGTATTGCCTATTCCTTTATTGTTTTAAGATGACTCAAGCTTAACCACGTGAGGAAGATGCAATCAATACTACATGGATAGTCTAAAATTTGAAATTTCATATTTTTTTTGTAAAAGGATTAGTTATTACTTGAAAAATCTATCTTATAATGCTGGCGTTAAATTTGGTTCTCCTAATTATGACTAAGATATTAATGATACTCCATAATTACATCTATTTATTTACTCTATATATTTGCTTTTTATATTTATTTACTCTGTATATTAACTTTCCATTTCTATGATTGTATAGATTCTATAAATAAAGATTTTCTCCCATAATTAGACTCTTCATCAACTTGATGTCAAAAATGCTTTATTGCATGGTTTTTTTAGGAGAAAGTCTACATGGAATAACCTCCTAGATATATTGATCATAAGTTTATTGTGTAGATTCTATAAATAAAGATTTGCTCCCATAATTGGGCTTTTCATCAACTTGATGTCAAAAATACTTTCTTGCATGATTTCTTTCAGGATAAAGTCTACATAGAATAAACTCTTGGATATATTGATCATGAGTTTACATCTTATATTTGTTGCTTAAAATAACCTCTTTATGATATGAAACAGGCTCCCCAAACATGGTTCTAGTGTTTCAGTTATTTTTTGCTTGGCCTTGGTTTTCTTCTAAGTTATGCTGATTCCTCATTATTTGTTTATCATGGTACTCATGGTGTTCTTTATCTTCTCTTATATGTAAACGATATGATCATCACTAGCAGTAATCAGCTTATGCTTTGTACACTTATCAATCATCTAGCCCAAGAATTTTCGATGAAGGATCTTGGTGACTTACACTATTTTTGGGTATTGAGGTCATTCAAAATGCCAAAGTAATTTTTTTGAGTCAAGCAAAATATGCTCTTGATCTTTTGACTAGTGTCTACATGGTGGATTGTAAATTGATTTCCACTCCTTTTATTATTGGGTCTCATCTCATAGAATCTAGCACTCCTCACTCCGATACTACTCAATTCCGGTCACTTGCAGGAGCTTTGCAATACTTAACTCTTACTTGGCATGACTTGCCCTACAATGTTAATTCTATATGCCAATATATGCATGCTCCTACAACTTATCACTTCCATGCTTTAAAGCGTATTTTGCACTATGTCAAAAGCTCCAATCATTATGGCTTACAATTTTTACAACATTTTTCTTTCACTTTGATGTTCTATTACGATGCAGACTAAGCTGGTTGTCCTATTACCAGATGCTCTACCACAGGCTATGCTGTTTACTTTTTTTAAGTACTAATCACTCGCCTAAGTGTTGAAGCAGAATACCGTGCTTTAGCCATTATTACTGCTAAAAATTTCTAGATACTTTAACTCCCAAAGTCTTATTTCTTGGTGTTCTAAGAAGCAAACCACTGTTGCTCGCCTAAGTGTTGAAGCAGAATATCGTGCTTTAGCCATTATTGCTGCTAAAAATTTCTAGATACTTTAACTCCTTCATGAGCAACATATCACACTCTCTTTTTTGCCAAGTTAGCTATGTGATAACACTAGTGCTATTTTCATTACTTCTAACCCTGTCACCAAATCTCACTCCAAACATATTAATATTGACTATCATTTTTTTTGGGAACTTATTGTAGAAAAGACTCTCTGTCTCTGTTTTGTCCCCTTACACCTCTAGTTAGCTGATTCACAAAAGGAGTGGCCAAATTATAGTTCTTATTGGATCATGACAAGTTGTGTGTTTTTTCTTTTTCCACCATGACAACATTGAGGGGGGGTATTAGAGTCAAATCTAGTTTTGCTAATTATGACCAAGATATTAGTGACACTTCATAATTATAGCTATTCATTTACTTTGTATATTTGCTTTCCATATTCATTTACTCTAGGTATTTGCTTTCCATTTCTATGATTGTACAAATTCTATAAATAAAGATTTCCTCACATCATAATGTTGAGGCATTACATTTACAATCTAATATTTTTTTAAATAAATAATTTCTCTTGATGTATGAAAATAATAATTTATTTATACTTTATTGAGTATTAATGATTTTTTTTTTAATAAAACATATAGAGGTGTCTTGTATATTTTGAAAGCAATCTTGTACATTGCCACCATTTTGACACCTTTATTTTTTTTTTAATTATAATCGAGATAATTTGTATTACCATGAAAGTTAGAGCAATTGTGATAATGACATTATAGAAAAGAGTTCAATATAAGGTAAATGAAAAAAAAATAGAAGTATACATCATTTAATTGGACCACATTAGAATGCCTTTTGAGTCTTTATACAAGTCCATGCTTGTATAATTGAAATTATTATTAGTCTTCAACCATAACACCAAACAATATAGAAAGTTAGAGCAATTGTGATAATGACATTATAGAAAAGAGTTCAATATAAGGTAAATGAAAAAAAATAGAAGTATACATCATTTAATTGGACCACATTAGAATGCCTTTTGAGTCTTTATACAAGTCCATGCTTGTATAATTGAAATTATTATTAGTCTTCAACCATAACACCAAACAATATAGAACAAGTTGGAAATTATGAGATTGGTCCGAGAATTTATCATGAAAAATAAAATTAGTCTAACACAACCAGATTCCCCAATGAATACCATATGCAAGCATAAGAATTGCTTGACTTTAAACTAACACAACCAGAATCCCCAATTAATACCATAAGCAAGCATAGGAATTGCCTGACTTTAAAATCTTTCTTTGAACAAGAACATCCATTTAAATAAAGCTTGATCAATGATGGCAAGCACCATTGAAAACCTAACTATTCCATAAATTTATTCCAAATTTCCAAGACTCCATGCAATGTAAGAAAAGATGATTTGAAGTCTTGAAATGAGCATGACAAAAAGTATAAGAAGCATTCTCATAAACAAAAAACATGTCTCTACTGCATACAGTATCATGTAGTAGGAGCCATATAAAGACTTTAATATTTGAAGGAACAAGACCATTTCAACATAAAGAAGAGTAAGAAAACAAACCTGAAATTATTACCCTATCATAAATTAAAATTTCAAACCTGACCATGTATTTTTCAAACTTGTTAGCCTCCCATTTTCCAACATCATTAGCATTAGGAGTCAAGACTATCCCTTCAAGATCAGCTAAGAGATAACCTAGAATTGAAAGCTTAGAAGCTCACAGATTTCTAATACAACTGAAATTTGTGGTACCACATCGATAATTGTTGAGCACTGATTAACTAACAAATAATATAATTGGGGATACTTCTCTTTCAAAATACTTTAACACTTTAACGGAGGCATTGATTTGACTAGAAATGAACAATTCCTTCATTCTCAACTTTAAATTGAATAATACTCTTCATTGTAAGTTGAGATTCATCATTACAATTAATAATTGAGTAAATACCTTGCTATATACTTGATAAGAAAGAGGCAAAAATCTAGATACCATTTTACTCCCTTATATGTACATGAAATTGTTACCTACTATTAAACAAAAATATATTCTTGGTTATGGAGAATACAATATTTTCAACTTCAATAATGCACAGGATTTGTTATGATTACTTCAAGTTACTATAATTATAAAGTCTTTATAGGTATGAAATAATAAAATAGTATTTAGAATGCAATAAATGTAAATACTTATTAATTCATAATTACTTACAAATGATTTCTTTATAAATTAAACAATATCTTTTTTTTCTTTTCCAAGGTAACAAGGAACCTTTTTTTTATTTATCACAATAATACTTAATTATTTTTAACTATCACAATTACAAAATAATTAACTAAATTATGGAAAGATAAGATAATATCATACTATTTATTTAATAAATTTATTTAATGGTTCATAATCACTTACAGCTCGTTACCAAAATGAATAGTATTTATTTTATTTTTTAAGTGTAATTGTATAATAATAATAGTGACTAGCATTATTACAAGATAATTAGTTAAATTAATGATTGATAAGATAAGTTACCACGATAAAATAAATAAAAATACCAAATTGTTTGTAATTTGAAGGCACCAGCTTGTAATTACAGATCCTTGAAATAACTATAGCAAGCATTGCATAAGGTTCACTCGGCAAGATTCATAGGTTTGTTAAAAATAAAATAAAAAAATAAAAATCCACAATCAAAGAAAGAGTAATTAAAAAGAAAAGAATAAAAATCTCGGTTACCTTTTTGCTTTTGGTACTCCGCTCAAGGGAATGTGATGATAGCACAAATAATCTTGTGGTAGAAACATGAATAAATATATATCTGAAACTACAGGGTACGGCTTTCTAAGGAAAATCAATGCATTGGCTTTGATATGAACTCCTCCTAGAATTGTTTAAATGTCTCTTCGAAGATGCACTTTCTGTAATCGAAATGCTAAAACATAGCAGTTCTGTATTTGTGGAAAAAGAGAGGTGTGAATCCGTCTTAGATATTAATACAAATAGTGCCCGCAGAAATGTCTTCCAGACATGCTTTATACATAGATCCGTAATAGAAAATGACAGTGCAATGCCAACTTTACCGGCGGAGCATTCAAGCCCTAATATTGTGTCCTTTATTTGTCAGTGAATAAATCATTAATTTTCTTTCTTTGAATTTACATGGTGCTTTTCTTTTGCTTTCCTCTTTCAAGTTCCACAGCACCTTGTATTTCACACTCTCTAATGAGCTAATTTTATTTAATTGGAGAAAAAGGGAAAAAACGAACGAGAAAATCTCACTTCAACACGCATAGCACTAAAACAAATAACACTCGAACATACTGAAACTTTTTTTTTTTAGATTAACGTGAGTGTCCGGACCAGCTTGCGCGCACCACGACTAATCTCACGGGCCCTGAAGTTAACGACCATGTAAACCTCCAGTGGCCATCATATGAGCAACCAGGACTCGAATCTGAGATCATAGAGGGAGCAAACCCCTTAATCCCAAGTCCTTACCACTTGACCATGGTTACATACTGAAGCTTTCTTATATGTTATGGTTGGGGTGGTGTTGTCGATCTGTGCCCTAGCCGGAGCTCTAGATCAAGTTCTTCGTGTGCCAACTCCTTAAAGTTGTTTTCGCTGTTGATATCATTGCTATTATCAATGGATGCCGAGGGCCCGGCTTTGATTGAGTAACAATGAGAAGTATTTATCTCAGGTGGAGCTGCTAGAAAATTAAGAGATTTCTCTATCAAGTTGTTATGGGGATATGGTGTGATAGAGAGAAGAGTAGAAGGTGAATCAGTAGCACATGCATTCATAGTTGCGGGAGTGAAGACTCCATTAGGGTTTGGTAGTCGGTAAAGTAAGCATAACCCGGCATTTGGGGGAAATTCTTGAGTTGGGATTATAAAAGTGGACGAGGAAGAACTGGAAGTTGATGAGTTGGGGTTGATTGAAGGCTGTGTTTGGTGGAGCCTAGCGCGGTCACGGCGGTGAACATTCATGTGACCCCCTAGGGCTTGGGACAATATCATTCGAAAGTTTAATTAATTATAAGAAAGAATGAGTTCCCTTCTACAAAAGGTGCAAGTATAAGACCTCGGTGGCCAAGTGGTGCCGTTGATGTTGCCTGTATCCTCTGCGAAGGCTCTAACCTCCCATGAATCATCCTCTTCTTGAGTTTGCTTAGGGTTCCACATCCAGACACTAGGTGTCTCATTCGGGTTCAGTTGATGTTGATACTGATTTTGTTGAGATTGAGGTAATTTTTGGAGTTGGGTCAAGGAGAGAAGGCCAATCTCTGCAGCCATAGCACTCGTAACATATGAGATCGGTGATAGAGGTGATGCGGAAACAAATGCAGAGAAGAGTTAAATAGGGGATGGGCTAGCTAAGGTGAGGGATCGAGACAAAAGGAGCCCTAATACCGTGGTTATCACCAAAATCTTGTACCAAGCAATTGGAATTTAGTAAGATTTACATTACAATAATTTTCCCACCCAACTAGCTATCCTCACATGTAAGGACAACATTTCTAATAACTTTGGCTTCAACGCCCCACTGTTTACTGGTTCAATTGCATGCCTCGGTGCATTTTTCTCTTCGTTCAATTGTGCGAAACAAATAATTAGTGCATAAGGAACAATATCATTCGCAAGTTTAATTAATTATAAGAAAGAATGAGGTTTCCATTGATTTCAATTAAACTTGGAAGGTGCTATTGACATGCTATTTTGCGCATTTACTGGGACTTCTGTTAATGGAGTTTCTTGGCCTTCCCAGGATAGCGACATAATACACATGGTGCATGTCCTTTGTCTCTATACTTTATGATGTGACTCGTTCAAGATTCACCCAAGTCCCATAAATTAAGTCTGGTTAATTATTTTAAACTAATTAAAAAATCATACAAACAGATGTAGTAAAGTAATTAAAATGGAGGCTAAT